GAAATGGATCTGAAAGGGAGTCGGAAAGTTAATGATTGATCTAGGTGACCGGAGATGACAAGGAGTCTGTCGGGAGTGGTCGTTGAGCATGACGAGGACGAGAAAGAGAGGATAGTCTTAGCTAGTCCCATGGTTATTGGGGGGTCTCGCTAAGACCTCTTAGTGAAGGGTTTTGTCCATGCTAGTCCCCTTTAGTCTCATTAAGTTAGTCCCAGCATGGAACAAACACAGTATTGGACTAATAGCTAATCCAGTCCAGTCCAGTCCAACTTAGTGAGGGCAAACAAACGCCCCCTTAGATTACAAATCTGCTCCGTTTTCCCAAATTCAAAAGTTTTAATCAAGTTTTACTAACGAGTCTCAGTATTATGCTTAGGTGCAATTATTATCGGAGACTTCAACTTTCCTAGTTCGAACGGCTGTGTACGCGATTATCTATAAGTGGGTTTTTTCTTTTATATAGTGTATGTGTGTGTGTGTGTGTGTGTGTATTTATTAGTTTCCATTTATATATTTGATAAAGAATTTTCTACGTTACACCTATATTAGGGTAACGTATATAAAATTACCGTATTGACGGAAATCATGCAATTATACTACGTCCTACGGGATGCACATGTATGTGTATTAGTATGGATGCTTTAATGATATTTACGGTTATGATTAGTATTTCATTGACTAGGGTTATTGAATTATCGAATTATCGATTTACCATTGCATGATCATATTTGCGTTATTTGCTCATCGTGTGCTGCACTGATGTTAGTACTCACCTAGGCCAAGGCCAGTCTTTCACATGTATGTTCACATCATATTGTACGCTCACATTTGGCTCCATTATAGGTGCCAGTCCTGTCCTAGTTTGCTATAGGCAATTAGGACTTATATGTGATGCGCATAGCGCTAGTTTTCAAGTGATTGTAGTACTATAGCGTAAATTATTATTACACTTAGTCGTGTTCATGTCAGAATACCTCTGCATGAACTCATGTGTCAGCAAGTGTCGATGAGCACTCGATATGATTTATTTATTTCTGCAAGATATTGTGATTACTAGAAGTTATATGCTTATTTACAAATTTGTGACATATTGAAGTCTTGAGATATTGCAGGCTACGGTAAGTATTTCATATTATACGTAGTATGTATATTTTGAAAACTATACGTATTGAAGTCTTAATATTATAACATCTTTTCAAAAATTCCAACCAATATCACCACAGAGTCTAAGCCATTTAGAATTCATTAGAAAAGAACTCATGAACTTCTTTTGGTGTAAAGTGAACCAACATGGTTAAAGAGACTTGACTAAAACCCTTACCACTCGTCATTTTAATTTAATACTTACTAACTTCAAACATAACTATTTTTTTTTCTTTTCTATTTTTAATTTTTTTTTATAGTAATAGTAGTGGTTGTGCAATGTTTGTTCACTTAAGCTTTTGATCCAACCCATGCAATGACTTTTTGGTCAATGACTCCCAAACCATAAGGGCTTTAGGGCACTAGGTGTAGAACGCCCCTAAGAACTTACTAACTCGAGTTGAAAAAGCTACGAAACCAACTAACCATTTTCCCATGCTAAGACTCTACTGTTTGACGCGAGAATAACTGCTGATCAGGCAGGACTGGTGTAACATCCCACATCGCCCAAGGGAGTGGATCCTGTAAGCCTTATATGTATATTCTCATCTCTATCTAGCACGATGCCTTTTTGGAGCTCATTGGCTTCGAATTTCGTAGGAACTAAGAAGTTAAGAGAGTTTGCGCAAGAGCAATCCCAGGATGGGTGACTTACTGGGAAGTTCTCGTGTGAGTTCCCAGAAACAAAATCGTGAGGGCATGGTCGGGGCCCAAAGCAGATAATTTCGTGCCACAGTGGAGTCAAGCCCGGGATGTGGTGGAGGCCTAGGCTAGATGTGACAATTTGGTATTAGAGCCAATTCGTGGCCAGATGTGTGTCGACAAGGACGTCGGGCCCCTAAGGGGGGTGGATTGTAACATCCCACATCGCCTAGGGGAGAGAATCCTGTAAGCCTTATATGTATATTCCCATCTCTACCTTGCAAGAGGCCTTTTGGGAGCTCACTGGCTTCGGATTCCGTAGGAACTCCGAAGTTAAATGAGTTCGCGCGAGAGCAATCCCAGGATGGGTGACCCACTGGGAAGTTCTCGTGTGAGTTCCTAGAAACAAAATCATGAGGGCGTGGTCATGGCCCAAAATGAACAATATCGTGCTACAATGGAGTCGAGCTTGGGATGTGACAACTGGCTCGGTTACTAAGCAAAGTCTTGGGTGGAACAATTATTACTTTATTTATAACAATAACTTTACTTTACTTTTTTTTAGAACAAAAAAATAAAAAAATAAATAAAAATAACTCAGACGAAAAGCACGTGCTTCAATCTCACCCCCACAAATCATGTTCGTGTGAATGTGCTAATTGTTAAAGGATAACTCATGAATTAGTGCCTAAACAACAATAAATAGAAAAGTCTCTACTGTGAGATTAATCTCCACCATGTCCATTTATTCAAATGTTTAAAATAATCTATGAATAATAACTTAAAAAGAATGAAAAATTTTAGCACACTTAAAAATTAAAAATCTAAAAATTTTATTTTCCCACCCCAAACTTAAATCATACATTGTCCTGAAGATGTGAAAAAAATAAAGAGAGAAAACAAAAATATTAAATCCTTAAAAATTGAAAAATAGCTAACAAAGACAAGGAAAATAAACTAGGAAAATAGAAATAGAAAATAAAAGAAAGAAACAATAAAAGAAAATATAAAATAACAAAGGAAACAGGAACAGAAATAAAAGAAAAGACAGGGAAACTGACACACCTGGGATTCGAAGGGGTGACCTGGTGACAAGAAAGAAACAGAGGCGCTGGAAAATATTGGAAAAAGAAGCAAAATTTCAGTGCTCTGGAGAGTTGAACCCGTGACAGGAAGCATTTCCGCATCCCTCCTAACTAGCGCCGTTTGATAACCTCGCTCTCTCACTACCCACTAGCCCAGAGCCGTGAAAGCTATATCCTTCATTTCCTCTCTCTCTTCATTTCTCATGGAACTGAAACCCTAGCTTCTGTCTTCAGCCCAGAACGTCAAAACATGAATCCATCTCCATCTCCATCTCTGTCAAAAACGGAACCCAGCCATGGCGATCTGTGATTCTAGCCCAGATTGTCACCATCGTGCATTCCTCTGCAAAACCCGAGGTAAAGAGCTCTCATTCTCTCTGCGATTATGGTCTCCACTTGGCGATATCTGAAATAAAAATGCATCCAACCATTTCTCCCTTTCGTTTTCATGACCGAAGGTCAAATGAAAACGAAATTCTGACTCTGTATGTTTTCTGTATGTAGACTTGGGGATCCGAGTAAGGCCAAGGGGAATAGGAGCCGCAAGGATCAATGGCTCACACATGGAGCTGCTGTACACACAGCAAAGATGGCTGTAAGAACTCGGATCTACAAAATGAAAGGTAAATCAAATCCCTCCACTGCGTTAAAATTAAGCATGGTTTAATATCTCTGAAAGTCATACGGATTTGTGAAATGTTTCTGTCATGCATTCATAGACCTAAAATTTCGTGAATGCTCATGTAATTTTCTGTGTGCTTGCGTGCCTCCATGTGACAAATATTGAGCAAAAACTGTGCAGATACTGGATCGGAGACATGGCTTTGATGAATGTCCACCTCTGTTTTGCCTGGATCGGAAAGGGATCCTCCTAATCCACCAAATCAGAAAATCCGTGATATTGAAATTTGATCTAATGACTGAAGTTATTATAACTTTTAAAGTGAGTTCTTGTTTGTAGCCATTGTATGTATGACTGAACTCAGCCTCAAATTCTTTTCTACATTCGTGTAGATGATGAATGCTCAAATAAATGTTGATGAATGGATGAATGATGAATGCATATTTGTATCTTTATTCTTTCGTTTATAGAAGAGTAAGGTTTATATAGCCCTTCTTTTTAATGTATTTTTTATTCTTTTTTCTTGTATTACGAGGAGTTAGGATTATGTCTTCCTGACTAAGTATGATTTATTTTTTATTACTAATAAACTACAATGGAACGCTTCCCATTTTCAACTAGGGGTGGTTCGGTATGGGATACCATACCAAAACTAGTATCCCGAATCCCAAACCGAAAATTTTCGGGACGGGAATTTGAAGACCAATCCCAAACCAAATTTTCGGGAATCCCGAATTTCGGGAATCCCGAAATATTTTCGGGATTTTGGGACAAATCGGGAATCCCAAATTAAAATATGAAATTATGAATTATTCTTCAAATATATAATTCAAGAACACATTCATGAACTAGAAATTTCATTTCAATCACACTACCATTTAATTGAACACTGGCATGCTTGACTATTTTTATCATAGTCAAAATTCAAATTAATTAAACCCTTTTTGCAATCTGTTGAGAGACAAAATAATCAAGCATTCTGAAATCATCAGCCCTAGTAGCAGCAATAATAATATCCACATGAATATCAAACAAAATATGAAAAATATGCATGGTGTAGGGCATTCCAGGTTGCCGAGTATGAATTAGAAACTACTAGCATCAATTATAAAAGAATAATATATATATATATATGTATAAATATATATATATAAAATAATAATTAATATTATATATTTTCGGTTTGGTATGGGATTCCCGAAATATTGAGAAGCCAATCCCGAATCCCATACCGAAATTTTGGGATTGGTTTGGGATAGCATCCCGAAAATTTCGGGAATTTCGGTTTGGGAAATTTTTGGTTTGGGATAGGGATTTTTTCGGTTCGGTTCGGGATTTTCGGGAATTTTTTCCACCCCTATTTTCAACCAAGGATAAACCTCTCAACATAGAGCAGGAATTCCAACATAGGTTTGACATTTGATGAATACTTTCCACAACTTTGTTTTTTAATTTTTAATTTTAATTCTTTCAAAGTGTTCGCCCTGTAATCTTTGGCAAAGCTAGAATGTCATTGTTCAAGTATAATTCGATGCAAATAAGTTTGTTTGGCAAGCATTGATCAACTAGCCATATGTACTGCATATTTTTATCTAACAAATATGAGAACGCGTTCACATAACATCAATACTATTACATGCTATACCACATATTAACGATAAGCTTCTATTCACATATACCATTTGCTCGAAGTTTGTTTCTGATCCGACACATATGTGCCACAACATCATAGATGTTCAATCTTTCTCTAGGCAACTCCGCTGAGCAAGCAACACCAATTTCTAAAACAAAGATTAAACTTTCTATGATTAGGATGCGATTCCTTGCCTTCCCCGCATTAGGATGATTGCTTTCTTGAACAAGAACGGGATCCAAAACCTCTTCCACTTGCTCAGGCAGAGCTGCCTTCACAAAGCTATAGAGGTTTGAAGTTCCCTGAAACATGTCATCGGTCGGTCTTTTTCCTGTAAATATTTCCAACAAGAGGATGCCAAAGCTGTACACATCACCTTGTGTCCACACTTCATGACCCATGCCATATTCTGCATTCCACAATTCAGAACATTATATTCTAATTTTGTAGTGACGTGCTGAAAGCTCATTTCATGTTTGAAAATTTTAAATTAAATACCGCACAATTTTAAAATACTAGCTAGGAAAAAATAAACTACCAAGTGTAAATACCTGGAGGAGCATAACCAATGGTTCCCTTGATCCCTAAAGAACTTGATTGATTTCCCGAAGAATTTTCAGCAGCTTTTGGTAGGAACCTCACCAAGCCGAAGTCACCTACATGTGCAACCATGTCCTCATTGAGAAGAATATTGTTGGGTTTGAGGTCGCAATGAACTATTGGCGTCTCACAATGATGATGGAGATAATCCAATGCCATAGCAACATCAATAACAATATTCAACCTCTGAGAAATTGTTAAGCTCCTTGGCCTCTCATTTCTCTCACCAATTGTATGAATTGGATACAGCCATTCCTCCAAGCTCCCGTTAACCATGAACTCATAAATTAAGGCCTTGAAGTTGTGACCGCGATAATCAAAACCAGAACATGCCGAGAGTACCTTGATAAGATTACGGTGTCTAATATTTTTGAAAGCCTTGCACTCAGCAATAAAACTTTTGTAAGCTCCGCGACGAACGAGGTTGAGTACCTTGATGGCAACTGTAGTTTCACCTTGCTCTAGTAGTCCTTTATAAACGGACCCAAAACTGCCCACACCGACCAAGTTGGTTGAGGAGAATCCATTTGTTGCCTTTAGAAGACTTTGGTAAGACACCTGGGGAAATTTGTCCGAATCAGTTGCAGCTTGACCCTTTTTGTCCCTCCGTGAGCAATAAAGGTACAAAAAGGTTAGTGCAAAAATGACTCCAAGAATCCCACAAACGAGGGAGAGAACCAATTTCATGGTTAAGCTCAATCCTTTCTTTTTTGCATGCTGGAGTTTGCACTTTGGCAAATGAAACTCAGGTATGCCCCCACAAAGCTTGCTATTTCCTTCAACTGATGTCGCCATTGCATTCTTGAACACTCCTTTGATCGGCAACATGCCCTCAAAATTGTTATAAGATAGATTCAGAGATTCCAAAAATACAAAACCTTCTAAGAATTCTGGAATGGTGCCTGACAAGTTGTTGTGAGAAAGATACAATTTTGAAAGACCTCTTAGTGAACTCAAAGTTGATGGAATTGTCCCATTGAAGAAATTTCCATGCATGTCTAGGTACTCTAATTTTATACAACTAACAAGACTAGCCGGAATTTTACCGAATAACATGTTATCAGAGATATCTAAATACTCTAGATTTATTAAAATTCCTATGTTCTCTGGCAAGGAGCCTATAAACTGATTTTGTCCTAAACTCAAATCATACAAGTTTAGCAGACCAAAGATTTCTTGCGATATGATACCGCTGAAATTGTTGGCACCAAGATGTAAGATCCTCAAATTCTGACACTCTGCTAAACTCGGCGGGATATTGCCTTGAAGTTTGTTGCCTGCTAAGCTTAACACATTTAATTGACTTAAATTTCTGAAAGAGGATGGAAAATTGCCAGAGAGAGAGTTCCCATTAAAAGCTAATTCATATAACTTGTGCAGCTTTCCTAGACCAGGGGGAATGTGACCTGAAAATTGGTTCTCGTCCATCCCCAAAAGCTCTAAGTTAGCCAGATTTACAATCTCATTCGGGATACTTCCTAATATTTTATTTTGAGCTACAATGAAGATTTGAAGAGAAGAAGACAGGTTTCCTATGCACTGAGGTAACGTGCCCCAAAAATTGTTGGTAAACATTTGGAGAATTTCTAAATGGGTGGCGTTGGTCAAATCGCAGAGAAAGGTCAAGTCATCAATTCCCCCACTTCGGAGATGGTTGCCAGCAAGGATTAACCACTCAAGCTTGTGCAAATTCGTCAATGGAGGGACTTTTCCATGCAGGTGGTTACCTCCGATCCCCAATCTAAATAGATTTGAGGCATTTGATAATGAAACAGGAATAGATCCACTGAATTGGTTATTGGAAATAGAAAATGTTTGGAGACTCGGAAAGACCATACCTAAGTTTGAGGGTAGACTCCCTTGGATTTCATTCTCTCCCATAATAAGGTCTATGAGAGAAGAGAGATTAAAGATTGAGGGAGGAAGCATACCCGAAAAGCTATTTTCGCCAAAATCAATAAAGCTAAGATTGGTCATTCGGCCAAAAATATCCGGGAAAGTGCCACTCAAATTATTAGGATATGCGAAGAACGATTCAAGGGATGATAAATTGCTAAAAGAGCTAGGGACTCCCCCTGTAAAGTGGTTAGAGTTTATGCCAAAATATCTTAACTTTGACTAGAGGCCAAGCTCATTTGGGATTTTTCCCATCAGCACATTGATACCAACGTCGAGCCCGAGGAGCTGTGACAAGTTAGTGGGAATTTCTCCACTCAGTGAATTGTTGTTTAACCATAGGTGTTGCAATCTGTGCAGGCGGTTGAATTCTGGAGGAATTTCACGGCCTAAGCTGTTGTTTTGGAGATCAATGACTCTCAAAAAACTCAAGTTCCCAATATGCGGCGATATAGATCCTGCAAGTTTGAAGGACCGCAGGCTCAACCTTGTCACCCTCTTATGACGACGACCACATGTAACGCCATGCCAAGAGCAAAAGTGGATGGTTTCATTCCATGAAGTCAGGACTTTAAAAGGGTCATGAGTTATGCTAGCTTTGATTTCAAGCAAAGCCAGTCTATCTGTCTCATTTCCCGGAAGGGCGAAACAAGGAAGGCAAGAGTGAAGAATGAAGGCATGCATAAAAAAGGATGACAAAAACACTGCAGAAATGGAGTTGTAAAACCCCATCCCCATGACGATGATATTTGTTTTGTGCGAAAGTAGAAATGGAGTTGTAAAAAAGTTGAGCTGTATTGATTGTTTGTCTAGCAGCTTTAGCAGCATCCAATTTATAATCATAATCAGAGTGCTCTGTACGTAGTGGATCAGCCACCCCAATCGCTATCGTACTCGATGAGGGATGTCCTGACAAAAAAAATATATCTTTTTCTCTTAATTTGATGAATAAATTCAATATAAATATAATTTTGTGAACTAATATTAGGAATGTTCACTTTTTGAAGTTATTGTATTCATTCTTTGAACTTAAAACAAACTCACAAGTTATAAGTTGAGTGAAATTATAACATCATATGATCATCGTGTTCGAATAAATAAAAAATTGCTCATTCTTGTTCATATCGATAGTACGCCAATAAAACAATAGTTAGCTTTGGTATTGTATAATGACAATTCCTAATTTTGGTGTATTATCGTGTCATTCGTTTATGCCAACAAGTAATGTTCGTCCTCACTCCTCTAGTTCCAGATTGGGCGCATGCTTGCGTCTTGTGAATGGATTGAGGATATACACAAAAGAATAGGTAATGGGAACTTAGGTATGAGCAAGGCTGCGATCGAATAAGAAACTACTTTATGTGGAAGACATGACACCCCATTTGACTATGACTAGTTGTAAAATCATTATAGCTAGTTATGGTGTGGAAAAGCTGAATAAGTCTTCGCCATGATCTTCATTCAAAGATTTATGCCTGAAGCATGGGCCATCCTGTGGTGGTTGAAAAAGATCCAACTGAACCACCTGAAATCTAATTCTTTATGTTTCTTCGAGCAACTCGTATAGGGAAAGAAAGACACATGTGGCTATCAAAGTCTGAAATACTAGTAAATAATAACATAACCAACTTCCGTAAATAGCCAAACGAGGCATGCCCAAGTCGCCAATGCCTTAACTAAATCTTCTAAATCTTGTCACGATTCCCACTGCGTACTTGATCCACTCTGCTAGGAGCCACATCGTCGACATAATACAACCCCCTTCTCTTAGACCATCTCCAACCCTGGGCTAAATGCTATTTTTTAGGTTTTATTCTCCCTTCAAATCCAACTCAATTCATGCTAAATGTGTGGGCTAAAAGCTAAAAGCTAAACAAAAACCAGATTTAGCCCATGATTAGTGGGGCTAGCCCACCATATATGTGTATTTTATTTAGTTTTATATTTATAAATTCATTAAATCCAACGGTTAAGATTTAATTTGATGAAATTCAACAGTAAAAAAAATATTTAACGGTTCAAATTTAAATCTAACGGCTAAATTAATTAAAAAAAATCTTTTATGTGTTTCATATTTTTTCATAGCGTTTAACGAGTTTCATGGTGTCTGTTTGTGATTTTTCAATATTTATCAGAAGCTAAATATTTTTAGGTTAAAATGTTCATAAAATTAAATTATGATAGTCTACATAATTTTTTCTTTTAAAAAAGTTACTTTAAGAAAAAAAAATTAGCCTAAATTCATTATTTAATAATCTGGGGCTAAAAATTTAGGCCAGAAGTAGTGGAGCAGAAAAACTGTTTCTGGACTAAAAATTTTAGGTTTTAGCCCAAAGGTCGGTACCTTTTAAAAAATGTACTAGAAACATTAGTACGATATAACCTAATCGATCGGTAATTTGACTGATTAATAAAAGATGATTTGATAATTCTGGAAGAAGCAAGGTATTGTGTAAGGATAAAGATGGGGTGAGTGCAATTGGACTAGGCTCTGTTACTGAGATTATAGTTCCATTGGCAGCGACGGCACTCTCTTTTGGAGGATAAATCATGGATGAAAGAGAGACTCGTCATGCGTCATGTAGTCACGATCTCTAGAAGCAATTTAAACTCTTCCCGAATTTCCTGAATTATCCCGATCAACAGAAAGAGATACTTGATCAAAAAAAGACAATATTGTCTTTTCTCCCATGGTTGCAGTAGGCTTAGGTAGTTAGGTTTAAGATTTTCAGTGTCGATTGCCAAGAACAAGCCACACGACAAGAATTAGGATTACTGTGCTACTTAAAGTTGATGGAATCGTCCCATGGAAGAAATTTCCATGCATGTCTAGGTACTCTAATTTTATACAACTAACTACACTTGCTGGAATTTCACTGAATAACATGTTTTCAAAGATATCTATATGCTCAAGATTTATTAAAATTCCTATATCCTTTGGTAGGGAGCCAAGAAAATGATCTTGAGGTAAACTAAATATATACAAGTTCAACAGACCAATGATTTCTTGCGATATGATACCGCTAAAACTATTCTCACCAAGATATAAGAGCCTCAAATTCTGACACTCTATATTAAACTTGACACGATATTGCCTGGAAGTTGTTGCCTTTTAAGCTTAACTCATTTAATTGACTTAAATTTCCGAAAGAGGATGTAAGATTGCCAAAGAGAGAGTTCCTACTCAAATTTAATATATATAACTTGTGAAGCTTTCCTACAGCAGGGGGAATGTGACCTGATAATTGGTTCTCAGCATCCCCAAAACCTCCAAGCTAGCCAAATTTACAATCTCATTCGGGATACTTCCTAATATTTTATTTTGTGCAATATGCAATATTTGAAGAGAAGAAGACAGGTTTCCTAAGCATTGAGGTAACGTGCCCCCAAACTTTTCGGTAAACATTTCGAGAAATTCTTGACCCAAAAAAATATTTCGAGAAATTCTAAATGGGCGGCATTAGGGATTGGCAAATACTCATTGGTTATGAGTAATCGCGGTTACCCGCCCATTTAAATTAAACAGTTACGGTTATAGGTAACCGTTTAGATAAATAAACGGTTATGGGTATAACCGTTTACCCGCGAAATTTAAATGGGCGGTTATGGGCATTAACCGTGGTTATAAACAGGTAATTGTTTATCCATTTATTTTATATATGTAAAATTAACACAAATCATGTTCTCGATCCAATAATACTTAGCACCCAATAAATTAGCAAGGAATTCATCGGTCCTTCTCTCAATAACACTACTACAGGAATGATGATTCTCATCATCAAGGAATTCGCCAAATTAATTTAAATTCCTTGCGAGTAACCATGAAATTGACAGAAATGCTTTGACAGAAATGTCTTCTAAACAATTTTTGTAACCCAATAATACTTACCAAATATTATATTTACCTTCATTGGTAACAGTTAAAAATATTGTCCTTAAACTATTATTTTAATTATTAGAATTGTATAAGGACTTAAAAAATTAAAATACGGAAATGTATGATGAATGTACCTATAACGGTGTTTAATTATTAAAAAAAAAGAAAATTATGAAATGTTTTTTTAATTTTCAAGTTGTTAAAAAACACGTAGACGGGGTATGAGTATAACCGTTTAGGCAATCACCCAACCAGTAAACTGTTATGCACGTATGAGCATAAACAATTATGGGTAAATAACCACGGTTACTCGCCCACCATAACCGTTGCCCACCATGGCATTGCTCAAATCACAGAGAAAGGTCGAGTCGTCAATTCTCCCACTTTTGAGATGGTTGTTAGCAAGGATTAACCACTCAAGCTTATGCAAATCTGTCAAAGGAGGGACCTTTTCACGCGATGATGTTATGCAAATCTGTCAAAGGAGGGACCTTTTCACGCGATGATGGTGGGTGATTTGGTCCTGCGTGTAGGATGAGTCCCCTTAACTTTACATGGTTGTTGATTTGTGGATCTTTTACGTGTGACACACTAATTGGGTCTCATGTGAGGGAGCGTGTTGAAATGTCCTACGTTGACCTTATCAATGACAAAAGAAGAGTTTAAGTATCATTACCCCAGTCTAACTAACACCGAGATTTTTTATGATAAAGCCCAACAACTGACAAATTATGCAAATAATACTTACCAAGTTGATAACAATACCAATGTTGTTAGAAGTGGGCATTCAATCCGTCACTTTAATAATTCTACAAGACCAACTTTAAGGTGATCAGCTTTTGTGCATCAACACTTTGGTTGTAAATTATCTGATTCCAAATTTTTAAATATTTGGACTTGACTCGCCAAATATGGGTCAAGTATATTGTCTCTAGTGTTGGAAAGTGCCACGGTAGATTGGTAGATACATAGCTCTAGCATTCATCAAATATTACTGGCCGACCGGCTTGTTGGAAAGTAGCTTCTAAACTGTCTATTTTCTAGCTTAGCTTACAAGTTAAGTTGGAAAAAGTGTGCTAGTAGACTTTGCCATGGTCAAGTTAGGGTTGGAAATTGCCCATCCATGCAGATTTAGCAGACTTTTTTCTTTCTTAACAATTATTTATTTAATTCACAAACACCGTAGTTTTAATATATATATATA